AAATAAATAAAAAGAAACGACATGTAAAATGCCTCCTTTTTTCCCCTCCACAGCTTTTCTAGAAAATGTGGCTGATTGAGACAGATTCTGTCAAAAGTTTGGAAATTATGTATGAAATGGCTAAAAAGCGGTCACTTCTGCAAGTAAAGCCAATTCCACTGAATATGCTAAAAGGTTGTTACTTCAGCTGACACAGTAGGAATGGTGTTTGACAGTGACAGGGTGAGACTGCCTCTGTTCATCTTGCAGCTATCTTACTTCATGCTCTCAAGAGGCCACTTCTGACCCAGTTTAACTGTACCCTTTTGCGGAAAACTGGCTGAAGAACAAAGATACTTAAAAAAGAAGCACTTGTTTATCAGTGTCTCAGTCCTCTAAATTTTGGGCTCCTATTTATAAAAAATAACCCCCAAAAAGGTGGGCAGAAAAAATAACTTGTCTGAYTCAAACATAATACACAGGATTGTTATATTTCTGTGCCTAAAGGTGTGTGAAAAAATATGACTCAAACTGCATRTGGGAGCATTCTAAAAATGTCAAAACATTTTAGAGTAAAACCTTTTCACACTCATACCTCTGTTTAGAGCTCAGTTGTGCAGCTTTGTATATTATATTTAAAATCACTGTTCAAAACTCAAAAATCTGACTTTTTATATTTACTCCTAGAGTAACATGTAGTTTGGATTTAATTAGAAGTGAATAATTTAAAAATTGTCAATTGAATGTATTTTAAAAGGTCAAACTTTCAAATTTCTGAGTGCCAAATAGAGGGCATTTGCTGTAATCAGTAGCAAAATCGAAACAGGCAGAACCAACCTCTGTATAACTTTGAGAGGACTAATTTACATAACATTTAGTCAGCCTGTTTGCAAAAAAGGAATGACATTTATTTGCACAATAGATCTTGGTATAAAAAATAGAAAATTAACTTGTGCCAAAACAATTGTGAAACACCTAAAATCCTTCATAAACATGACACATTTTGGARTGCTAAGTTCAAAAATAATAGTTACACAAACATAGCAACAAATTAAAGGGAGTCAGTTATTGATTAAGATACTGAGTTAAAATTGTTGTGAGTGGTAAAATAATTTGAAACTCTGAGATTAGCTACTGTTTTGTAGATAAAGTTGTTGTTATTCTTATTCTACTCTTGCTAAGAGTGCTGAAAAAGCAAAMATACTCAACAATGAGGTGTACGATTGTCTGGATTGTCACAAAACCTTCTTTACTTTCTTCTTCTTCTGAATAATTATAAAAAAAACTTGGCCGGTTTAGATAAGGTTCTGATAAATTTTAGCTCTAACATCAAGAAAACACTGAAGAATCATGGTGTTCAGGTTGCGAAGAGAAATCTATTGCTTTGCAAAAGTCTTATTGCCATCTGCCATTTGAAGAACGCATTACCAAACCAGAAAGGCTGCTGAAAAGATGTTTTGTAGACAGATAAGACAGATGAACTACTGCTGTACAATAACTCTGTATGTCTTGTGATGCAATAGGGATGCCAAAGATTTTTTTTGTGCCTCTTAAGTTTGACACAGCAATGACTCACTTTGACACAAAGCTGGTAAAATAAATRTAGTTGGTTTGAAGGGATTTTATCTTATTGACTGTGTCATTTTAAATGTAAGATCTCATGACAATGTTTAAAAGCAGTTTTAAAAGCCAGCTTCCAAACCGCCTTTAGATGTTATAGTGAGACCCATGAATGTGTTTACAATCAGAATTTTCTCAAGTGGCTTTAATTCCTGGGAAAGAGTTTCCAGGTGGGTTCATCTAAACTAYTGGTCAAACTATTGTATCCTTCATCCAAGGGACATGAAGGTTTGAAGCGATCAATGGACCCAYTTATGAGCCCCCTGCTCATCTGGGTTCTTTATCCATCCCCAGTAACAATAACCCTAACCAAACTATTGATATGTAGTTTATTTTTACATTATAAAAGGCTAAACCTTGTCATGCAACACATGAAAAACAATATTTTACTTCTTTTTTTTTACTGTACAATAGAGCGATTCTTGCATAACTGGTATAAATTATTCAACCTTGAAGGAGTCAGAAATTTTATCTGGACAKGATTTTAGCTACTAGTGAAATAGATTATTCCACCAACTCCTGAGAGAATCTTTTTATCTCTGATTGTCCATCTCGTTTTCCTCCCACTCCTCTCTCAGCATTACCGTCTTTCCTATTTGTTACTTAAGTGAAATGTCATAATCTGTCAGAGCAGGATCTAACAAAAGTAAATCTCAAAGTGATGACTCACAGATGATCTGTGTTTGTTTAGACATGCATCATGTGTAACTGTGTGTGTGTGTGTGTGTGTGTGTGTGTGTGTGTGTGTGTGTGTG